TTCCCTACAGGGACCAAAGCCTTTCTGAAGGCTTGTTAGGTTACTGTGGTTTTTAAGCTTACTAAAGTGTGTGAAGTCAGTGTCTTTCTCCTCTGTGCTTAAGTCACCTAATGCTATATTATTCCCATTAATCACAGGGAAGGTAGTTTGCTAACAGGTTTTCATGAATGAGATCTGGTTAGATCCATTGGCTTTTGGAGTATGATGGGGCTTCATTCAGCCTATGTTATTGTCTGTTTAAAAGATTGCTCTGTTTTTAGCTTTTCTAATTCTCCATTTCCCCTGAATTTTGACCAAAGTTTTTTACAAAGCCAAATAAAGAGAGATTAATCAGTTAAAGAAGTCGTCCTTGGTTTTCCATCCTTGATCCACTGAGAATGTAATATATATCCTTTCAGTGTAGTGTAGGTATGGATAAGAAAATATTGCTTTATGTGTTCAGTCTTTATATAATAAATTTTATATGGACTTCTAACTACTTATGTATACTGTACATATATGAAGATTCTTTTTTCTAGATAGGGTTTCTCCAGTCCTGGCTGTCCTGGAACTATCTATGTTGATCAGTCTGGCCTCAAAATCAAAGAGATGCTTTTGCCTTTGCCTCTCAAGTGCTGGAACTAAAGGTGTGCACCACCACACTTAACTAAAGATTCTATAGCCATCATTTTTTCATTTATTCTTATTTTTGACTTCTATCCATGTTGCTACATATATGTGCGGCATTCATATTTTGTATGTTTTTGAGACAGAGTGTCATTATGTGGCCCTGGCTGGTCTGAAACCCACAATGTAGACCACGTTGGCCTTGAACTCACAGAGATCCGCCTACTTCTGCCTCCTGAGTTCTAGAATTAAAAACATGCACCACCCTGCCTGGCCCTAGGCTTCCTGTTCTAATGATACTATTTTTATTTTGTATTATCTGTTAATGGCTTTTTAATTTGCCATTACAAAAACATCAAAGAACATGGGTATCCTGTGTGTGTGTGTGTGTGTGTGTGTGTGTGTGTGTGTGTGTCTTGGTGTTGCTGCTTTCTTTTTTCCTTCAGTGGTTTGAATTTGATTATTATCTAAAGTTTCATTTGAATTTCCCACTTACTCCAATACCTTATTAGTCATTATTTGAAGGAGGAAGAGGGATGAGGAAAACCTTTATATAACTTTAATACTTCTCTTTTTTACTGGTGTGAAAGGTGCTGAAAATGTCTTTCCTATTGACCCTTTGTAGAATTTGATAATGATGGCTTTGCATTTTAATATTTTGTATTTTATTATCTCTAAAATATTTTTTTAAAGATTTATATATTTTTATGTACATTGGTGTTTTGCCTGCATGTTGTCTTGTGAGGGTATCAGATCCTTTGGAACTGGAGTTTTACACAGTTGTGAGCTGCCATTTAGATGCTTGGAATTGGACCCATGTCCTCTGAAAGAGCAGCCAGTGCTCTCAACCACTGAGCCATCTCTGTAGCCCATATATATTTTTTTATATCTATAATATCTGTTTTCCATAAACTTCCATAACTGTTGAGATTTTCCTCTTCTATGTAGACTAGGCTGGTCTTGAACTTGTGATAATTTCTCCTGTTTCTGCTTCCCCAAAGCTAGGATTCCATGCTCAGCTCTTTTACTACTTTTTAACTACTGGGATACTTTAATTCACCAAATGTGGATGAAGTATTTCATCAAAAGTGCAAATGCAGTGAGGCTTGCTGCCAGCCTGTAATCCCAGCACTTGGAAGGCTGGAGAGTTTTAGATAAGCCTGGGCTAAACAGCCAGACCATGTCCAAGAAGAAAAAAAGAAAAAAAAACCATAAAGGCAAAATAACAAATACTTTCTATATGCTGAAATATATGTCTCATGTCATTTGCTAGGAAGTTTTATTTAGTGAATATTCTTCCTTATGCCTTGGTAATCTTGGAGAGGAATTGGTAACCTATTCTTTGTCACATCAGCTTCACATTTTACACTTTGTGTTGAAAATATATGTTGTTTGTTTGGTTGCTTAAATGTAGATATGTCTGTGAGTAGTTTGGAGTCCGGAGTCATCAGATTCCTTTGAAGCAGGAATTATAGACGGTTGTGAGCTGCCTGATGTAGGTGCTGGAAAACAAACTTGAGTCCTCTGCAAGAGTACTACTTGCTTTTAACTACTGAGCTGTCTCACTAGCCCAAAGACATGTTCTTATCTTAAATCTTTCTTTAGAACACTAACACTAGCTGACTGGTGAGTTCAAGACCATGTATTCCAAGCTGGACTGGAGCTTTAGTCTGTAACTTTTACTGACCTCAAAGTTATCCTCAAGTCTTATCTTTCCACGTGCTGGGTAACAGGCAAGTGCCACCACAGGCATGTATAGGATTTCTGTGAAATTGTTAAAGGATAGAAGTTCAAAAGGAAAGTTTAATTCAGTCATTTATTAAATACATTTGTTTCTGGCCTTCCATGTGCCAGACACTGTCTAGGTGCAGCAACAAAACACATAAATCTACCTTTGTACAGCTTATTTTTCAGTTACAGGAAACAGATTGTAAAAAATATAGTATGCTAGATGACTTTATCTAGTATAGAAAAAATAATGAGGCAGGAGTAAACCTGGCTGGGAGAGAGGATTGCATTTTAAGGGTGTCAGAGAAAGCTCTCACAGAGATGGTGACAATTAAAGAATCAGTAGTGGCGGTGCATGTGCCCTGATAATCTCTAAGGGACTAGAGAACATTACCCCCACAGCAAACTGCAAGCACAAAGCCCAGAGACAGAAATGAGCCTGTGCTGGGAGGAACTACAACAAAGAAAAGTGGCACAGTTGGAACATAGGGCGCTTGGGAGATGCAGCTGGAGATGAGGTCAGAGAGTACCGATTTTTCGGGCTCCTTTGGGCCATTGTACAGACTGTGGCTTTTTCTCAGAGTGAGATGGGGTGACTGCTCTGACATTCCACAAAGCAAAAGAAAATACCTATGTCCCGATCTTTGTCTTTTCAGAAGTTTTGTCTCGTATGTAGTTGGAGTGTTAAGTGATGGCTCCGAGAGAATAGTCACACACAGACTTCAACACTTTTGTCAATAGAGGAAACTCCTGAAACACAGGTCTTATGTCTTAAAATTTAATTTTAAGTAATATGATAGTATATTGGTCTGTAAGTATTTATTCTTGAGTGACTTGACTCTGCTTTATTGTGGAGTTCTCAGTCCTGAATTATCTTTGGAAAAAAAAAAACAAAATCAAAGGCGTGTTCTGTAGGAGACCTTTTGTTCATCGTTAAGCAGTAGAGGGTAGGTATCCACACTGTAGTGTTACTTTAACCTAAAAATGGCCTAAAAATGTTAATTCTGGAAAATTAATTGAAGATAAAACCCAGAAACTTAAGAAAAAGTGAGAAAAGGACTAAAGGTTTCTGCTTCAAGAATCACATGAATAAAATTGGGTGTGGTGGCTCATTCCTTTAATCTCAGCTTTCAGAGGCAGGTGGAATCGTAAATTCAAGGCGAGCCTGTTCTACATTGTGAGTTCCAGGACAACCAGGGCTACATAGTGAGACTCTGTCTTTTGTTGTTGTTGCTGTTGTTGTTGTTTTGTTTTTCAAGACAGGGTTTCTCTGTGTAGCTTTGGAGCCTATCCTGGCACTCGCTCTGAAGATCAGGCTGGCCTCGAACTCACAGAGTTTCACCTGCCTCTGCTTCCCAAGTGCTGGGATTAAAGGCTTGCGCCACCAACGCCCGGCCAAGAGACCCTGTCTTTAAAAAAACAAAAAAACAAAAACAAAAACAAAAACAAAACAGGAGGTGGTAGCACACACCTTTAACTCCGGCACTCGGGAGGCAGAGGCAGGGGGACTTCTGTGAGTTTGAGGTCAGTCTGGTCTACAGAGTGAGTTCCAGGACAGCCTACAAAGCTACACAGAGCAACCCTGCCTCGAAAAACAAAAACAAAAAAGTCACACATAGGCAGAGATTTTTCACTTTAAAGTGCTGGATATCTTCTGCCTGGAAGATATCCAGATAAGGTATTTATCTTGCTGCCTTTGGAGTGTCCAGAACTGTCTCCCTTTGGCTACCTCCATTTTAAATAATGCCTTGTACAGTGGTGCTCACCAAATATTTGTTGAATGGATTTGAATTGACTGTTGCTCCTTGATAGAACTTTGTGAGATTTATTTAAGTTCTGGTCTCTGATTAAAGGTGTCCTGCTTTAGCATCCTGCTTAGTGTGTCCTGTTTAGGGTGATGGTTATTTCTGTTACTAATAGTAACTACATTTGATTTTATCAAAATCTATTACAGTGTAAGGAAAATCAATTTCAATCTGTGTTAAAGTTCATATGCACACATTTGAGAGATTTGAAGGCTAACTAATGATTTACACAGTGCCTCATTTTCCCATGTTAAAGAAAACTAGGATCTGTTATACCTATTTTTGCCTAGGTTCTGTTCCTACAAGCCCAATTCCCTTTGTAGGATATGTGATAGATTATTAGAGCATTTGTGCTGCAGACAGCATCCAAGGTAATCTCATTGATCTTCAACACAAACCCCTTTCTCTCCCTTGCATAATCAGTATAAATAACCTGGTCTTTTGTGGACTCCCTTCTGATATTTCCTAAAACCACAGGATAAATGACTTTGTTTAAATGTTTCTTGCTTTGGTGTAATTTAGTCACACAGCATCTTTAATAATATTATACTTTGTAGTGATTTTTTTTCTCAACAATATTGACATGGGGCAAGTGATATTTCTTTTAGCTTATAAGCAAGAGTGTTAGAACTACCTGGTTTTCTGACTTTCAAGTATACCCTTTTTGAGAGGTGAATAAAAAGTAGATCATTTAGGCTAGAGTATTAGAATAGTAATTTTGTCTAGTCCTTTTATCAGTCATTTCATTGCAAATGCATCACCTGACTTTTGTGAACTTTTCCCTTTTAAGAACAGCCAAAGTAAGACGTGTATGAGACTCAGAATCTAGTTAAACTGACTCATCATCTCTATTTCCAACAGAGATTTCCTGCTAGACAAGACAAACTAGAGTTTTCCTACTGATTAGACTTGGTGAGTTTTATGTAGTTTTTTTTTAATATAGTTTAATCATGAAGGGGTAAAGCAGAATGAGATAGACAGAAAACGTATCGTGATTGAAAAATGTACCTCTTTAGTGCAATCTACTGTTTGATTTTAGTGCATATTGAAGGTAAAGTTGAAGTCATATAAGGAAAACATGTTTGATTTTCTTTTTAATGTGTGTGTGTAGGGTAGACTGTCATCCTCAGCAACAGTATCCACCTCCTTTAAAACAGGGGTGTCTTATTGGCTTGGAGTTACCAATTAGAATAGACTGGCTAGCCAGTGAGTCCCAGAGATCCCCCTGTCTCTCTGATTTACAAGTAAGTACCACCATGCCTAACTTTATGTGGATTCTGCGGATTGAACTCAGCTCCTTGTACTTACTTAACTGATCTGTGTCCCCAGCCCAATCCAAAAAAAAAAAAAAACGTTTTTGTAAGTGAGTTTAATAAGGTTTTACTCTAAATATCCTTGCTGGGAATAAACTAGAACCTTTTAGTCATATCTTTTCTGGTGACTAATATATACTAGGAAAAGATTATACATACTAATGATGGGGGAAGCAATTGTGTTTGGATTTAATTTTTTTTTTTGAGATATAGTGATGATCTATATAGCACAAGTTGGCCTCAAATTCATCATCCTTTTGCCTCAGCCCTCTCAAATGCTAGGATTACAGGTATATGCCAGCAGTCCCAGCTGGGTTTAAATTTTAATCAAGGGTTGATAATACATGATATGGAAACAGTAGAGTAAGAAGAGCTACTTTGAGGGTTAGGATTACAGTTTATAAAGCAAAAAGCTGTAAGCAGTGTGGTGGCTTTTTTGGTCTGTAAAAGCAGTTTGAATTTTGAGCATTTTACCTTTTTTTTTTTTTTTTGGTTTTCGAGACAGGGTTTCTCTGTGGCTTTGGAGACTGTTCTGGAATTAGCTCTTGTAGACCAGACTGGTCTCTAACTCACAGAGATCCACCTGCCTCTGCCTCACGAGTGCTGGGATTAAAGGTGTACGACACCACCACCCAGCTGCATTTTACCTTTTTGTATTGTACCTTACAGCTTAGTTCTTTAATGTTGACTTAAAGTCTTGCTACCAAAAATACCTCTTTTCAAGTGTTTACTCTGTGCCCTGATTTATGCCTCAAACCTCTATGTATACTTTTAGAGTCTTACTGGGCAAATGGTGTTACTGCGGTTTAATCCTTTCAAAGGTCATCAGGAACTAAGGACATTCTCTTTAGACATCCTGTTCAACTTTCCTGTTTTGTCTGCTATGTGTTTTTTACTATCCCCTGATTCAAGAATTTGGAATGCACATTGGAGACTGAGAACTTTCTGATTTTCCTTTGTTCTGTTCAGTTTATTTAGATCCTTAATATAGTTCATTGCCTAGTTAGACTGGCTGCCCATTAAGCTCCCAAGAGACTACCTCCAAGTGCTGGGGTTTCCAGTCTTGGTCTCTGACAACACTTTACCCAAAGAGCTATCTCCTTGTGAATGCTCCATCTGTCTCTCCCTCTTCCTTCTTTCTGCCCTTCGACGTCCCCAACACACACACTAATAAAGAGTCTCACTTATTCTTGGCCTCAAACTATGTGACTGAGGATGACCTTTTGACCATTTTTTTTTTCTCCTTCCTCTTCCCAAATTCGAAGATAACAGGTATGTGCTGTTATGCCCAGTTTTTGTGGTGCTGAGAATCCGAACCCAGGATTTCCTGTAGGCTAGGCAAGAACTCCACCAACTACACTCCATGCCCAAGCCAGAATTTGGTTGTTTCTGTTAGTTTAATTTTTTGAGGCAGGGTTTCTCTGTGTAATAGCTCTGGCTACCCTGGAATTGATTTTGTAGACGAGGCTGACCTCAAACTTATAGAGATTCCCCTGCCTGTAGGGATTAAAGGTGTGTGCCCTCACTGCCTGACTGAATTTGGTTATTTTTCAGAAGGAATTTATTTTCTGTGTTTAATTTCTAGATAAGGCATGTTGCTTCATTTAATCAGAAAATGTGTTAAGACCCTAAAGGAGATCTCTCTCTCTCTCTCTCTCTCTCTCTCTCTCTCTCTCTCTCTCTCTCTCTCTCTCTCTCTCTCTCTCTCTCTCTCTCTCTCTCTCACACACCCACACACACACACACACACACACAGAGAGAGAGAGACACACACGGTCTGGGAGGTAGCTCTGTAGTAGAGTACTTCCTTATCTTAGTTGGAAGGGGTAGGGCTTTTCCTTTCAATAAGTATTTCTGAGGAAAATTGAGTTCCTGATAGGTTGCAGTGGCTCATGGGGAAGGAACATAATGAGTTGCTTTTGTAGCATGGTAAATTCCCTGAAGCAGGTGAGGCTTTTCTGTTTCCAAGTTAATGGATTTACTCTTTGCTCTATATCCCAAAACTGACTCTCTTTTCTTTTATGTTCATTCCTTGGGCCCCCTATCTGGCCAATTTTTATTAGCAATAAGTATTTTAAATGGTTTCTTCTTACAAGGCCAGAGGACCCTATGGGTTATAGGTAGCTCTCTCTGTTAAATGAAATGATTTCAGTTTTTTAATTCCTTGCATGCTGGACACATACATAGTAATAGGTCAAACCTTTCATCTGTCTTTGGTTTAAAGATTTTTAAAAAGTATTAACTATGTGTAGGCATGTGTGTGTCTATGTATGAGTATGTGCATGTAAGTGCAGAAGCCTGTGGGGGTCAGATGCTTGGATTCCCCTCTGGAGCCAGAATTACAGGGGTTTGTGAGGCACCTAAGATGGGTGCTGGGAACCAAACTTGGGTCTTTTCTAAGAGCAGTATGACTCTTAATTGTGGAGACATCTCTTTATCTTGTTTACTTGTGTATAAAGTGTTAGGTCAGCTAGCAAGATGGCTAGTAGGTAAAGACACTTGTCCCCAAGCCTGATGACCCAGGTTGTAACGATATGGTAGCAGGAGAGAACCAGCTCACAGAATTTGCCCTGTGCCTTCACACAGGAGCCCTGATATTCATGCACCCCCATGGACACTAACTAAATAAATAAACGCAAAATTTTTGTTAGAAATACCAAAATTCCAAGACTTGAAATTATGATCTTTCCATTCTTCCTTTAGTTATGCCTATAAAAACTTTATACAATAATTATGTTTTTCCTCACATTTTGTTTATCTTGTGGGGGGACACATATGTGGTGAGCTTTGGAAGTGCAACTAATACTAGAGTCTACTTAACCATAGGACTGTCTTCTTTTTCTTTCTACTTTCTCCTATTAATTTTTTTATTATTTTCCAGCAGAGAAATCTTTGACATGTGGGAGATGTTAAGATTTTCACCTTTACCAAGCTTGCTCATTGTGGTCTTGGAAGGTTTTGCTCATGCTGTTCATTGAAAGTAACACATGATTTTAATTTAAAAATGGAGTCATAAGAAAAAGTCCACTTTAAAAAAAAAAACAAATAAATAAAAAATAAAAAAGAGAAAGAAAAAGTCCACTTTGAAGTGAAACAGCACCTTTATAAGCAAATTTGTTTTTTGATTTGAATTTGTGTTGCTCCATTTTAGACATCTCCCAAGTGATCGATTTGAAAGTGATGTGTGGAGAGCTTATTCTGATGAGCCCTATGTGCTGTTTTCGTTTCGTTTTGTTTTTTTTTTTTAAGCAGCTGGTGGAGTTTTCTTTCCCAGCGGGGGTTCTGTAGTTAACAAAAGCAGCGTATCACCTGCTGGTTTTAGCCCAAGCCTTGTGAAACCTATGCTTGTTTCGGACATGTGTTTTCCTGGATTCCCCCATCCAATTGGAGGTACAGTATTTTTCCTCATATGCTGTTATTTGCATGTGTCTTGTTTCATAGCTATTTTTGCCTATATTAAAAAGCAAAACAGAACTCCATTGTCTTCCTAATTTCTGAAGATTTTCAGTCCTCCAGAGTAGTTGGATGGAATCTCCTCTCCAGGGCAAGCTTCTGAGTTTGGTGTTATTTTGAGAGTAGAGGATGATGCCAGTGTATCTGTACCAGTAACTCTGAAAGTGGGGTGCATCTGGGGGGAAAGAAATTCCTTCCAGACCCTTAAATTGGCAATAATTTTTTTCTTTTTTCTTTTTGTTTTTTGCTATCTGGAAAAGTTGTATATCTAAAGTGAAAATTGTTCCATATTTTAGCCTTTGAGCTGGCTGCTAGATCTCCTTTGGGACAAGGACAGTTTGTGGTTATTTATAACTTACTGCCTTCTAAAGAAGGCAATAAGGCTGTAAACTCTCAGCATACCCTGAAGCTTGGGAATGAGTGGGCACATTCTGCTGTTAACCTATTGCAGTTTTGGGAAAGACTTGCTAGTCTTTCATATACTTTCTTGTTCATCACCAGTTTAACTTTGTATGTACAAGTCCTGTCAGTCTATTTCTCTAAAACTCTAGCTGGTGGTACTGGAGAAGAGGGAAAAGTAGCTTTTTAGTTGCAAACATCCAAGTACTCACAGTTGTCTCAGAATCTGTACTTGCCTAAGACATGTCTGTAGCCTGGGGAAATCTTAGACACTAAATGCTGTCTTTGTTTCGGAGTTCCCCACATACACAATAGTTTGAAAAAAAAAAAAACTTTAGAAAAACTTAGTTAAGTGTCTAGACATAGATGTGTCTACCATTGTACATGTTTTATTATCTTTTTTTTTTTTCTGAGACAAGGTTTCTTTGTGTAGCTTTGGAGCTTGTCCTGGAACTTGCTCTGTAGACCGGCTGGATAGACGAGGCTGGCCTTGACCTCACAAAGATCCCCCTGCCTCTGCCTCCTGAGTGCAGGGATTATCTTTTTTTCTATATGTCAATTTTAAGGTAATCAGGTTGTATCAAATAAGAAAATTATAGGTTGAATCTAAATAAATGCTAATTATGTGCCTCAATTTGATTATTTTATTGGAATTTTATTATATAGAATTTAAGTTGAAATAACTTAGAAATTTAGACTGGTTGCCTGACAGTTACTGTAATGCTACTTTCTTTATTGTTGTTTGGT